GTGGAAAACTAACTCTCATACATTGGTAGTGGGAATGTAAAAAGGTACAACTTTGGAGAACAGTTTGGCAACTTTATAAACAGTTAAACATATACCTACCTTACAATCCAGTCATTCCATTCCTAGGTATTTACTCAAAAGAAACAAAATCCTATCTTCATGCAAATATTTTTCATGGGGGTTCAAAGAAGTTTTATTCATAATCACCAAAAACTGTCAACAACCATTATGTTCTTCAACAGATGAATGGATAAACTTGGTATATTTATACAATAGACTATATATAACACCACAACAAAAAGGAATGAACCACTGATACACACAATATGGATGAATCTCAAAATGATTGTGCTCAATGAACAAAGCCACATGCAAGAGTCCATACTGTTTGATTACATTTACATAAAACTCAATATAGTGCAAAATAATCTATATAACAGAAAGCAGATCAATGGTTGCCTTGGATGGGGTGGAGAGGTTCAGGAGGAGCAAAAGGGAGTATGAAGATAGATGAGAAAACTTTGGGGGGTAATGAATATCTCACTACCTCAATTATGGTGATGGTTTTACAGGTGTTTTTGTATGTCAAGTCTTATTAAAAATGCACAACAAATTATATGCAGTTTAGGTTATGTCATTTATACCTCAAAACTATTAACAAATTCAAATAACGAGTCAGTCCAAAATCATGAAACAAAATGGCAACCTCGGAATGGGCAAGTTTGCATCTTTGAATGGCATTTGTATACTGTGACCCCGTCTTGCTTCATAGCTGTTCCTTAAGTTTTCCCATAGTGGGGTATAATGTCATTAGCCTAGCATCACTAAACCCCATCTCGTAATATTTGTAATATTTGTTCATAATGGGCACAGGAGCAATTCTTTTTGTTAAAAAGTATCATGCTTTTATTTTTTATACTAATAGGTGGCACTTGGCTTAGTCCAGGAAAGAACTAAACAAATCACAAACTAAGGACATTATTTATTTAAACAAGAGCAGCAAATCACATGCCCAACTAAGTCACCATTTTACCCTGCTTGGGCTGCAATAACAAAACACCATGGGCTCTGTGGCTTGAAAAACAGAAATTTATCTTCTCTCAGTTCTGGAGGTTGGAAGCCCAAGAGCAAGACGTCAGCAGGGTTGGTTTCTGTTGAGACCTCTCTCCTTAGCTTGCAGACAGCACTTTTTCGTTGTGTCCTTATATGGTCTTTTCTTTATCTGTGCCAGTGCAGAGAGAGTTCCGGCGCCTCCTCTGCTTCTTATAAGGATTTCAGTCTTCTAGGATTAGGGCGCCACCCTTATGACTTTATTGAACCTTCATTACCTCCTTAAAGGCCCTATCTCCTAAAGGCCCTACCTCCAAATAGGAGATACTGACAGTCACATTGGCAGTTAGGGCTTCAACATGTGAATTGGGAGGATATAATCCAGTTTATAAGAATCATTATGTCCTTAACAATGACAACAGTTCACATTTATTGCAGCTGGCCTATATACCAGGCACTCCACTAAGAGCATTACATATCAAATCATTTAATTCTACTAACAAGCCTATGAGGTAAGCAGCAGTAACACCTCATTTTATAAATGAGGAAAATGAGGCTCAGAAAAGTTCTATCGCTAAGTTTCTTGAAGATCTATGCACAGTTAAATTACACGCAATAAATTGTATGCAATTATTTTATTAAAACATGCATCCATTAGAATGTAAACTTTATAAGGCAAACATATTTTTCAACTTTTTTTTCCACTGAGGTATTTCTGAGTGTTTAGACAGCTGTGCCTGGCACATAGAAGGTGGGTTGACAAATATTTGTTGAATTAAATCAAATTGAACTTGTCCTTAGTCAAATAGCTAACATATCACAAAGCTAGGTTTTGAACATAGGTCTGTCTTATTTGGGTTCAAATTCCTAATCAATATTTTATACTTATTTTATTAAATAGAAGAAAAAAATCTTAGAGTCTGAACATTCAGCAAAGCACAAAAGAATTCTTTTCAGACAATATTTTTGGTAAAAGACAGATTAAAAAGGGCACTGAACTTGACATCACCGATTTCCCCCCTAGATATACTGTGTCCCAACTCAGAATCTCCCTTCCCCTAGCACTTAATCTTTTCTACAATGTAGAGTAAGTACTTGTATACTTGTCTTATCTTCCTAACTAGGTTGAAAACTCCTGGATGGTAAGAACTAATTCTTAAGTAACTTTGCATAATGTAAATCCTTGCATCAATAAATGTTTGCTAAATAAAACCAATTTATTTATTTATTTATTTATTTAAGGACTATGTGACAGTAGACCTCAGCTCCAGACCCAATACAACCTCTAAATTGGTTTGTGGCTCTGGGTAAATCACATCACTCCTTTAGACAGTCACTTAGATTTCTTTTAACTCTAATATTCTGTGACTAAATCTAAGTCCATTCTCAGTAAACTAGACTTGGAGTTAAATATCTGAGACAGAGACAAATCATAAAAGACATTCATTGAAACAAACAGATCAGTACCACTAAGAAATAAGACTCATGTCAGGAATAAGTTTCATCAAAATTTTATTTCCTCAAATATAATGGACATAATAGCTATCCCACAGCACCCTGTTTTGGGGACTTAATAAAGAGAACACTCTTATACTTTTTCCCTAAGTAACAAAATTATTAAATATTGACAGAACTCTGATAAAATCCTTTCAGACATGTCCACAAGCTGGAAAAACGTGAATCATACTTATTCAACTATAAAGAAAAAAACCACAAATAATTGTTATAAGCACACGTTAAAAGTTTCTATTTGGTTTATGAGACATACTCTTACTACTTTATCAGCAACCTGGCCCAAAGTACCACAATCCACTATGGAGGGAGCTCTGACATGCTAAGAGCTTGCAAGTCACTCCTCCCATCCTTACAAGAGAAAAGCTGAACAAACTGAAAATCAAAGAAGCCCATCAAAAACCTTGGTTTGCAGGAATACCACCCCATGAATAATGGAAGACAGGCAATCAGGAAAACCATCAATGACATCTGCTTTCTTGAAGCAGAAACTGCTGGAGCCATAAACTGGCAAGAATGCTTAAATGGTAATTCTGATAGATTGTTAGAGGCTGAATGTGGATGAATGTGAAAGGAAGAAAAACTGAGGGCCATAGACTTAGGAGGGCCCTCACACTTCTGAGTTTAACCTTCAAGAATTCTATCAGTTTCTCTATTAAAGAGCCAAGAAAAATCCTTTCATGTCTCTGGTAGAAGTAGGGGAACGTAACCATTCTGATATACACCCAGAGCATTCTCCATAAGAAAGAAAGGCCAGCTCTCCAGGGGAAAGACCTTTCTGGAGCCTTTTTCCACCTGAAGGGATGGCATTTCTCCCACTGCAGCCCCCTCTAGCCTTCTAGTTTCACCAAAGAAAAGGTGGGAGAGCTTTACAAGAAGAAACACTTGTGAAGATCATAGACCAAAGGCATAAACCTACTGAACAACTAATATTTAATCAGAAAATTATAGAAAGTTCTGTCTCCCCTACACATTACAATGACACCAATAGGACTGTAGTATACTAACTGTGGATTACTACTGAAAGAGTTACAAAACAGAGTATCTCTCTGAGAAGGAGTACTTCTAGAACCCCAACTCAAGAAGAAAAAACAAGGACACTGTAAGAATTTGATGCCTTCAGTATCTAGAGCTACACAAAACAAACAGTGTAATTCTTGGAAAAATTAACAAATTCTCACACTAAAGACCTCTTTATCTCAATTCTTCTCACCCAATGCATCCCTTCTGATTTTTAACAACAACAACAAAAAGTACCAGACATGCTGAAAAGAGAGAAGGAAAAACAGAGTCTGAAGAGACAAAGCAAGCATCAGAATCAGACTCAGGTATGACACAGATTTCAGAATTATCAGGGAATTTAAAATGACTATAATTAATATGCTAAGGGTTCTAATGAAAAAAAGCAGACATTCAAGAAATGATGAGTAATATAAGTAGAGAGATGAAAATTTCTGAAAAAGAATCAAAAAGCAGTGCTATGTATTAAAAACTCTGTAACACACATGAAGAATGTCTTTGCTGGGCTCATCAATTGAGTAGACATGGACAAGGAAAGAATTAGTGAGCCTGAAGATAGAGCAATAGAAATTTCTCAAGTTGAAATGTAAAGGAAAAAAGGAAAAAAACACTGGAACATCCAAAAATTTCAAAGGAAATAACTGAAATACCAGAAGAAGAAGAAAATAAAAATAGAAAAGAAATATTTGAAGTAATAGCATCTGAGGAATTTCTAAAATGATAGTCACTAAGTCATAGATCCAGGAAGTTCAGAAAATGCCAAATAGAATAAATACCAAAACACCACACCTAGGAGTATTTTATTCAAAGGACAGAAAAATAAAGACAAAGGAATATATTTTTAAAAGCAAGAATTAGGATACCTTATCTATAGAAGGAAAAAAATGTGCAAACAAGAAGAGAGTAGCATGAGATATTTAAAATGTTAAAAGAAAAAAATCCCCAGAATCCTATATCTAGTGAAATTACCCTTAAATATGAAGGCAAAGTAAAGCCTTTTGCAGACCCCACCTTAAAAAAACAAAAACAAAAACAACAACAGAATTTATCTCCAGTAGACTGGTCCTCCAAGAAATGTTTAAAGGAAATCTTCAGGGAGAAAGGAAATATTTTAGGTCTACCTGAAAGAAAGGAAGATCTACATAAAACAAAGGAAGAGCATCAGATAAGGAATAAATAGAGGCAAAATAAAATTTAGTCCTTTCCATACTCTTGGTTTTCTTTCTTTTTTTTTTTTTTTTGGCAGAGTCGGCTGAGGCTTTATTTGGGAAAAGACACTTGAATCGGCTTTTAGTTGGGGGCATGGACAAGAGGGGGTACCCAGGGCAGAAGACTCCCCCCAAGGATAGGCTGAGGACTGGGGCTGAGTCTTAGGTGGCTCTCCCGTTCCCGACACTCCTCGGCACAGCTCCTTTCCCCCCAAAGGCTCTATGGCAGCCACAAGAGTAGGGAGGCTGGGAGGGACCACCATGGTTGTTCACTTGGATAGGACATCAGACGACTCCGACACCAGCTTCCCGTCACGGGTCTCGATCTTCTTCACGACCACAGCCTTGGAAGAGCCGCTGCGGCTGAAGGAACCAGCAGGGCCAAAGCTGGACTGGAAGGAGCTCAGGCCATATTTGAGGCCGGGGCTTGTGAGGCCTCCATAGGCCGAGCTCAGGCCACCTGAGCAGCCACTCGTGGTCTTAGTATGGATACTCATGTTCTGCATCCCAGACTCCAGCCGGCTCTCCTCGCCGTCCAGCAGCTTGCGGTAGGTGGCAATCTCGATGTCCAGGGCCAGCTTGACGTTCATGAGCTCCTGGTACTCGCGCAGCCACCGGGCCATGTTCTGCTTGGCTCGCTGCAGGGCGGCCTCCAGCTCAGCCACCTTGGCATTGACGTCCTTAATGGCCAACTCCCCGCGCTGCTCAGCATCAGCAATCGCCGCCTCCAGGGCAGCCCTCTGGTTTTTGAGGGCCTCGATCTCAGCCTGGAGTCGGCTGATGCTCCGGTTCATCTCAGAAATCTCCATCTTCGTGCGACGGAGGTCATCCCCGTGCTTCCCAGCCAGTGTCTGCAGCTCCTCGTACTTGATCTGGTACATGGTCTCGGCCTCAGCCCGGCTGCGATTGGCGATGTCCTCGTACTGGGCCTTGACCTCCGTGATGATGCTGTCCAGGTCCAGGAAGCAGCTGTTGTCCATGGACAGCACCACCGACGTGTCCGAGATCTGGGACTGCAGCTCACGGATCTCCTCTTCATACAGCTGCCTTAAGAAGCTGATCTCGTCGGTCAGCCCTTCCAGGCGGGACTCCAGCTCTACCTTGCTCACATCCTTCTTGATGAGGACAAATTCATTCTCCATGTCTGCACGCTCTTTGATCTCCTCCTCATATTTATTCTTGAAGTCCTCCACCAGCCCCTGCATGTTGCCAAGCTCCACCTCCAGCTTCAGCTTCTCCTGGCCCAGGGTGTCCAGCTGCCGCTGGAGGTTGCTGATGTAGCTCTCGAACATGTTGTCTGTGTTGCTCCGAGTGGTTTTCTGCTGCTGTAGGAGGCTCCACTTGGTCTCCAGAATTTTGTTCTGCTGCTCCAGGTGCCTCACCTTGTCAATGAAGGAGGCAAATTTGTTGTTGAGGGTCTTGATCTGCTCCTTCTCTTGGGTGCGCACAGCTTGGATGTTGGGGTCCACCTCCAGCTTAAGGGGGCTCAGCAGGCTCTGGTTCACTGAGACAGCCGTGATGCCCCCCAAGCCCCCAGTGCCACCACCGTGGCTCCCGACCACACTCATGCTGCTGCTCAGGCCACCCCGGAAGCTGCTGCTGCTGCCGCCCACCCGGGAGAAGGCAGAGGAGCTGATGCGGGAGCCAGGCCCGCTCCTGTAGGAGCGGCTGCTGAAGGCCCGGGGGCCGGAGGTGGACATCTTGTAGGACTTCTGGGTCACCCTGATGGACATGTTGGAGGCCGGAGTGGAGGCTGGAGTGGAGGCGAGTAGGCTAAACCTGACAGAGGTTCCAGAAGGAGCCGAGAAGCTGCTTCTAGGTGGGACCCATACTCTTGGTTTTCTAAAAGATAACTGTTTGCTTAAAATAATAATAGTCACCATTTATTGGGTGATTATAGCCTATGAATAAATGAAATGAATGGCAGCAATATCATATGAGCCAGGAGGTAGGAATAGGGAACACTTTGTTATAAAATATCTGCACTACATAAGAAATGGCATCATGCATTTTAAAGTAGACTTAGGGTTAGTTTAAATTGTATATTGCAATCACTAAAATATTGGCAGAGAATTATAACTGACACACTAAGAGAGGATATAAAATGTAATAATATAAAGTGCTCAGTTAAAACCAGAAAATGTTGAAAAATAAGTCTCTGGTAATAAATAGAAACCAGTTACAGACATAGATAATATTAATTCAAATATATCAATAACTACTTTAAATATTTGTGATCCTAACACACCAATGAAAGATAAGATTGTCAGAGTGAATAAAAAAAATCACTCAACTATCTGTTTCCCACAAGAAATGCATTTCAAATATAAAGACATATAGATAGAACATAAAGGGATGGAGAAAGATATATTATGCTAACACCAATCAAAAGAAAGCAAGCGTAGCTAATTAATAAAGACAAAGACTTCAGAAACAAGAAAAAATACTAAGGGTAAAGAAGGACACTACATAATGATAAAGGGGTCAGTTCTCCAAAAAGACCTAAGAATCCTAAGTGTGTGTGCACTTAAACACTAGGCATCAAAATATGCAAAGCAAACTGATAGTACCAAAAGGACAAATAGGGAAAACCATCATTATAGTTGGAGATTTTAATACCTTCTATCAGTTATTAATAGATCAAGCAGGCTGAAAAACCAAGAAGTATATAGTTCATCTGAATAGCACCATCAATCAAATTGATATAATTCCAATTTATGGAATACTCCAACAACAGCAAAATATACATTCTTTTCAAGTTCACATAGAACATTCAGAAGACAGACCACATCTATGCCATAAAATACACTTAATAAACGTAAAAGAAAATAGATTATAGGGGCGCCCGGGTGGTACAGTCATTTAAGTATCCAACTCTTGGTTTCAGCTCAGGTCGTAATCTCAGGGTCATGAGATCGAGCCCCGTGCTGGGCTCCCGGCTCAGTGTGGAGTCTGCTTGAGTTTCTCTCTCCCTCTGCCCCTCCTGCTCGTGCTCTCTCTTTCTCTCAAATAAATAAATATTTTTTAAAAAGAAAATACATTATAAAAAGTACGATCTCATACCACAATGAAATTAAACTAGAAATCAATAATGGAAAACATAGTTGGATACTCAAGTATTTGAATATTAAACCATATACTTTTAAACAACAAATGGGTTAAACAAGTCTCAAAGGAAATTTATAATATTTGAACAAAATAAAAATACTTGAACTGAAAAAAATCCGTATACATTTGTGGGATGCAACAAAAGTAGTGCTTAGGGGGAGATTTATAGCATTAAGTGCATATATTACAAAAAAAATCTAAAACCTAAGCATATACCTTAAGAAACTAGAGGTGAAAAAGCAATTTAAGCCTTAAGCAAGTGGAAGAAAATAAATAATAAAAAACATTACAACAGAAATCAATAAAATTGGAAACAGGAAAATGATAAAGAAATTCAAAGAAACCAAATGTTGTTTTTTTGAAAAGATAAATAAAATCAATAAACTTCTAGCCAGGCTAATCAGGAACAAAACAAGACACAGACTTCTGATATAAGAAATAAAAGAGGGGTTAGCATTTTTGGCCTCATGTACATTAAAAAGGATAACGAAAGAATACTTAGGAAAAAAAAAAAGATGGTCACAATTTGATAATTTAGATGAAATGAACCAATTCCTTATAGACACAAACTACCAAAACTCACACAAGGAAAAATAGATAACAAGAAATTTATCTATCTAAAATAGAAAACAAAAAAAGAATCAATAATTAATAACCTAATAACCTTCCAAAAAAGAAATTACCTATCCCAGATGATGTCACCAGTAAATTCTAGCAAACTTTTAAGGAAGAAATGACGTTAATTCTTCACAATGTCTTACAAAAAATAGTAGCATAATGAACATTTTCTAACTCATTCTATGAAGCCAGCATTACTCTAATGTCAAAATCAGATAAAGAGATTACAAGAAAGAAAAGCGACAGACCGATATCTATAATTAACATAAATGTAAAAATCCTTAAGAAAATGTTAGCAAAATGAATCCAACAATGAATGTATTAAAAAATTATACACCATGACTAAATGGTCTGTGAAGCTGTTTCAACATTTAAAAATTAATCCCTTAATATAATCTACCACATCAACAGAGTAAAGAAGAAAAATCATATGATCATATTAATTGATGCAGAAAAAGCAGTTGACAAAATCCACTACCCATTCATGGTAATAACTCTCAGCAAACTAGGAATAGAGGGGAAATTTCTCAATTTGATAAGAACATCTACAAAAAGCCTACAGGTAATATCATGGTTAATCAGAAAAAACTGGACACTTTTTCCCTGAGGTTGGGACTAAGGCAATATGTCTTTTCTCAACACATCTATTCAACATCATAATGAAAGTCTTAGCTAGTGCAATAAGACAAATAAAAACATGAAAGGTATACAGCTTGGAAAGGAAGAAATAAAACTATCTTTATTCATAGATAACATCACTGTTTATGTAAAAAATCCCCCCAAAGAAGAACAAAAAATTTCTGGAACTACTGAGTATAACAAAGTTGCAGGATGCAAGGTTAATATGCTAAAGTCAGTTGCTTTCTTATATGCCATAAATTAACAAATAGAAATTTAAATTTAACAAAACAGTATGGTTGTTAATAGCACCTCCCCAAAATGAAATACTCAGGTATATATATAACAAAATATATACAGGAACTATATGCAGAAAGCCACAAAACACTGATATAAAAAAACAAAGATCTAATAAATGGAGAGAGGAATTGGAAAATGAATTGGAAGACTCAATATTGTTAAAATGTAAATTCTCCCCAAGTTGATCTGTAGATTCAACACAATCTGATTTAAAACCTCAGCGAGAAGATAGCAGGAGGGGAAGAATGAAGGGGGGGAAATCGGAGGGGTAGATGAACCATGAGACACGATGGACTCTGAAAAACAAACTGAGGGTTCTAGAGGGGAGGGGGGTGGG